GGGGGGAGGGAAGAATGTATACTTTAATTGATGTGTTTCACGGGACATTTAGCCTTCATCTCTTAATAAATCGTTCAAAAGAGTGTTTGAAATAGCTTGTTATAAACCCTTTTTTTAAAATAAAAAGTTCTTTGCATTATTAATTTGGATAATTTACCAAATTACTGTCTTAAATTAAAGGTGTGCAGGAAAAAAATACCATTTTTAATTGTGTGTTCTTCCTGGTTTTGTCATTTGTTTGAACTGTTACTTCTACTGTATTTTTATTAAAAATATAATACACTTTTGAGGCAGAATCTTCTCCCAGAGCTGCAAATTAAGATTTTTTTTTAATGTGGCATTTTGTTTGATTTTACAAAATACTGTGCTGAACTCAAGAGTTAGGTTCTTGAGCTGCCTTGAAATTTTAAAGAGTAAATTTAGGAAAGAACACTTGTTTGCTTGTAGTTTCTTAGCCAAGGAAGTGTACTTCCTTGAGACTTTCTCAAGATGTATATGAATACCTGAAAAGAGGGTGTAAAGAAGACAAAGCCAGACTGTTCTTAGTGGTGCCCAGTGGAAGGACAAGAACATCAGGAACATCAAGAAACACTTTTTCACTGTGAGAATGACCAAGTACTGGCATAGGTTGCCCAGAACACTGGTGGAGTCTCCATCTTTGGAGATACTCAGAGGCCATCTGGACGTGGTCCTGGGCATCTGGCTTTAGGTGTCCATGCCTGAGCACAGGGTTGGACAAGATGACATCAAGTCATCTCTTCCGAGCTGAAACCATTCTGTCATTCTGTTGTTTTTTCAAGCTGCTTTTCAAAATCATTGGGACTAGGTTCATGTATTTTGAAAGAGTTAAATAGTCTCTCTTGCAGACAATGTCCACTCTAGCTAGTATTGACCCTATGGAGTCTTACTGAACTTAAAAGTTACAGTTTTAGAGTGAAACTAAGTGCAGAAGTCCTGTGTGACCAAGGCCTACGTTAGAAGACACATTACAGGCTCATTCAGTTTTTGACTTGGCACTAGTCTGGTCACGTAGACTGAATGCTCATTTGAGCTTGGAGTGCAAATCACAAAATCCATGAACTGAAGCACAGTAAGAGGAGATGATTTACAAGGTCAATCCTGGACCAGGTAACAACAGCAACACAGAAGCAGCCATAGAGTGCTGTCTAGAAGTTGGTCCAGATGCTTCCTATACTAGTATTTAGTGAGCCACATTGCCTGTCTTAATATTACTGTTTAATGCTCCTCTTACTTGCAAACTTGGATTCCTGGAGGGGAGGGTGTAAATTACAAACAACATTTAATTTCATACCATTCCTGAGAGAGAAAGTGGCTTTCATATTGTTATCCTCAAAAATGAAGACTGCTTAATGTTTCCAGCCCTCATGTAAGGTTCTGCTGTAAGACCTCCATTCAAGATTTTGTAGTTCTGTGAAGTTAATCTTCCTTCCTTAATGTGTACTCCAAGTAAGGCTAAGCTTTCTTTTCTTGAAATCATTAGGAACGTTTAACACACTTTGTAACTATTCTTGAAGTAGTGCTTTACTTGGATTAAGATAATGCATGACGTTTAAATATTAAGTGGGCCTCATTAATGACATCTGAAAGGACTTTTCAGGCTTTGGCCTTGATACACAGTATTTAGAACTTCATTTGAAGACCCTAAACTATCAAATTAATTTGCAAGTTATTGTTTGACTTAACAAATTAAAACACAAATCAGAATATGAGCAGCAGTTTAGAAAAAGAAGAAAACCAAGTTGCAGATCTCTGCTAGTTGACTCAAGTCTAGTTAGAAAGAAACAAAGTTTTTACACAACTACCATTGCTTTTAATTCCTCTTTTAGTTTGCAGAACAGAGAAAATATAAATGAGCATTCTAAAATTTTCTCTCTCAGATCAGTTCTTACTTTGATAGACTCCAATTCCTTTGTAAAAAGTATACAAGGTTGTTCAAACTTTGACCAAAAGTAAATGTCCATTAGCAAATAACCATTCATTGTATGTACTCTTTGAAGAGGGTGAACTGTGACAGTTGTTTGGATCAGAAGTGGAGTTAGTCTTTCTTGGAATCAGGAATGCCTGTGTTAACATCTTCCCATAAAACAGGAAATTGTGTATTTGTGGGTTTCTAATGAAATTAATAGTTCTTTCTGGAACATAATACTCCAAGAATATTATTCCCCCCCTCCTCTCTTTTATCTTTCCCCCCTCAATTGCACTGTAACTTGTCATTGTAAGATGTTGTCTTGCTATTATTCTAATGACTGGACTTTAAGCATTGTTGAATTGCAAGACAACTTTCCAAAAGTTAAGATTCATGGTTACAAAGCTCATGGATTTTCAGACTCATTTTTTCATTATGTATCTGAGTGCATGAGCATATCACTTTTTGTGTAAGGTGGCCTTTTTTTTTTGGGGGGGGGGG